GTTGCATAATGACTTATGTGTGTCACTTCCAACTTCCAAATTCATGCTAATATGCTCATACTGTGATCAACAGTTTCTTCTGACCATGCATAGTACTGTTACAGTAAAAGGATATGTGTAGTTTTCCTTCTGCTAACTATAACAACCTCCCCCTCCTTAATCAGAATATTGTGACACCCCTTCAGAAAATTGAGATAAATTTAATCAGTTAATAATTCAGGCATGATGACTGTCTAAGTCCACCCTGTAACTGGTTCAGTTCAGCTCATTTACAACCAGTTTTGTGCTGATAGCCAGAGAGAGTCCTGTGTGCAAATCAGGCCAAGCCTTGTACAGTACATATACCATGCCATACAACTGGAACTCCAGCAACCAGCAATGCAGTGGCCTTACACCAATCATCAGCGCTTCCTCTCTTTCCTAAATGAGTTTCTGTGGTGAGATTTCAGCTGTGTTCCCCTGAGATCCTGTGGAACTACACTGGAGTCTGAACAAGATCGCACTTCACAGCCAGTCTGAACAGCAATTAATCATCCAGCAAGTGATACGTTTTTAATTGTGTAGGTTTTCGTTTACTTTCCTCTAATGCATTTTAGCATTGCTTCGAACTAAAGCATCTGTCAGCGGGTAGGTCGCTGCATTTGTTAAACTACTTGACAAATTGAAATGAATTTGCTGTTTTCCTCCTGTCTGCAAACACCATTGGTTAACACACTGCCGTTTCAGTTGTAACACTGGGTCTGCACTTAAAGATGACCTATTTATAAAGACATAACAAATAATTGATGTGATTTGCGATTCAGTTACTTCCCATTAGAAAACTTTAAGAAGCCGTTAATGTACAGTATTTGGGTTTCATTACTCCTCTTAAAGCAATTAAAACTATTAGATTTATAATTGATAGAGAGATATATTTATTTTTTTGCATAGCAATTCATCTTCTAATGAATGTTTTGTTTTATTAACATTTAAAAAATGATCAGAGATTTCTGTGTAACTTTATAAATGTGGATATTCAGAAATATTTGAGGTCTTGAAAGACCAACATGGTTAGTGTGATCATATAGAATGTTAAAAGAAAGATTGACTCTTCACGTTAGGAGTGTAATTGGCTCAAAACTAAATTCTGGTAAGAATTATAAGATCTAAATTTCAAATTTATTGCAGGAGTTTATTGACTAAGCTGATTCAATGACTAAAACTAAACACACTTTTTTATTCATGACAGTGTTACATTTATATTTGGAACATTATATTTCTGTTTCTCAAAAAACAATTCAGTTCAAAGCAGACAGTAAGAAGTGTAATGAGGCATTACTGATTGAAAAGGATGTATGGATTTTTCTGTAAGAAGCATTCACAATTAAAATGTTTAACAGTGGATGTTTATTTGTCTTTTGTGATATTTTAACACATTTTAGGGGGCAGCACGGGTGTGCAGTGTTAAGTATTGCTGCCTCACAGCACTGGGGCCATGAGTTCAATTCCATGTTCTCCCTGTTATTATGAGAAGATTGGTTCTCTTTGTTAGTATGCATGTGTTCCACCTGTCCCCTTGTGTCTCCCAGGTTGGGCTCCTGTCCAAATGAAACTCTTAAGACAAAGCTGTTGCTGAAAATGCATAGATGTTGTATACTGTATTAATTAATTTATTTTGGTTTAATTCTATTTTAACTTCAGACCTTTTGGTAGTAGCATTTTGTTCCATTTCTTGCTTGCTAATGAAGCACCTGGGGATTCTTGTGGTGAGAAAATAAAAGGTTCTGTGGATTTTGTTGAAAAGATATCCAACTATTATCAGACGTGATTATTTTTGAATCAGTGTTGTGTGGGAGATCGAGTTAACTTTTGGATATTTTTACACATTTCAATATTAATATTTTGAATTGGAAATCTGTATTGTGTGTTTAATTGTGGACTGTTTTAGATGTCTTTCTTGATACTCATATCTGTACTAATTCACAGTGCTTGGTATAATGCTCCATTTCTTGGTCTGCATTTCAGTAGGAGCATTTTAGGCAGTATTGGCAGTAGCGCGATACAGTATATATCATTCCTTTAAAAGTTATGCCCCTCAGTATGTGAGAATGCATTGTTCCACTGTACCTTTCACAGTATTCTGAGATTTTACAGTGGGAGATGGAGCTGTTTAAACAAATTATCCATGACGACTCTTTACATCCAGTCATCTTTTATTAAAACAGAAACTCCACCACAGTGGGGCAGCTTCCCCCTAGTGTGGAAGGGCTCACACATTCTTGTCTCCCTGTCTGCTTTGCTGACTTTTCAAGGTCTAAGATGAACAAAGTGTTTATTTGGATTCTCTATTTTCTTTTGCGTATCCTTCTGTCACCTCCGTTCTGACTATTTTCCATATATGGAATTTACCTTCTTAGGGTAATAAAACTCTTGGCTTAACTTTCTCCTCTAAAGAGGGTGAACCCCCAAAAAACCTTCCATACACTCTTCCATACAGGCAAATGTAAAAGGAAAGTAGGTGTAGTGGTAATAGACAGTGTGCTGAGGGAAACCTGTACTTGTTCCAATTTCTGAACCGGACGTTTTGTTGTTTTACACTGTGGATTGTTGTACTGTGTCACAATTGTAGTTTGGTCCATGTGTGAACTACAGTATGGATAAACATTGGTGACGGCTAGCAGGATATGACCTGCCTAAATTGCCTTCATTCTGTATGACTTTTTTTTATAAAGAAGA